GGTAAGGCAGAGGCAGGAGCTGTCAAGTCAAACTGTGGGCAGAGAAATTGTGGTCAAATTGCTGAATTTGACTCCTGACTAGCAAACGGGAAAGAATGCCTGTTTTACAGTTATGTGTGTTCCCAAGCATGGCTTGGAAGTTAGAGCTGGGAACTGCAATTTCTCATAGCTCATCACATCAAATACCACTTCTGCATCAGGCCTCTTCTCTCTTCCAAATGCCTCCCTGTGCAAGATTTTCAATAGCTTTGAAAAGGCAATCTCAACCACTCTCTTCATAAGAGATATGTAAGTAAGTGTGTAACACTTACTTAAATTTCCCATCACAGAAGCATGCCATTAATATCATATGACCACAGACTATAAGTAACATAAAATCCAGTTATAAAAGGAAAAAAAAAAAAAAAAAAACAACACATTACAGGGCTGGGGAGATGTCTCAGTTGGTAAAATGTTTGCCGTGTAAGCACAGGGAACCCACATAAAAAATGGTAAGAATGGGAATGTGCACTAGTAATCAGCACTGGGGAGACAGAGGCAGATGAACTAGATCGCCAAGGCTCACAGGCCAGCCAATCTATCATAATTGTGACATTCCTGGCCACTCAGAGCTCCAGTCTTAGAAAACAAGGTGGATGGCACCTGAGGAATGACACCTAAATTTGGCCTCTGGACCCCACATATATTCACAAATGTACACCCATAGACATGTGCCTGAGCACACCCCAACATGCAAAATTAAAATAAAAAAGTTACAGTGAGTACACTGAAATGAAGATTTCATTAATGGACAGAAAAGAGAAATAGTCCATTGAGAAAGATTTTTTTTACCAGAGTAACACATTATGCTAAGCAAGTTTTAATATATTTGAATGCTTTGTAGCACATTTCCAAGAGACAAGTAAATATTCTTAACCTCCTTGTAGAAATGAAGGTGCTGAGGCATGGAGTGATTACAACACCAGGCCCTAGGTAAAGCAGCCAGCGAGCCACTGATTAAAACCCTAGGCCCCAAGCACTGGCCACGAGCTCTCTGGAAAACCAGCATTCTATAAAGATGTTTGCTGAACAAAGACAAAACTAGCCTACCTGGAAAAGAGAAATGGCAGGGTCAAAATATGGCATATTTTTCACTGCCGCTGGGGACCAGTGAGAAGTTTTCTTCCACAGCCTGCCTAGAGGCCCCTTCTCTATCCTTTTTGGTTGGTGATCAATGATTACTTAGTTGGTAGCACACTCTAGTGGAGGGTGCAGAGCCAGGAGCTAGAATGCCTGGGTTCAATTCTTTTTCTCGTTCTGCTTGGGCCTACATAAGGTTAGACCTTTAGTCTCATGCATTGAAGGTAAGCAGGAGAGATGTCATTAATTGTGACAAAAACAAAACAAAACAAAACACCCTTCCACCCTTCCTACTAGGGATGTGGTAACGTTGCAAAGAAACAATGCAGAAGATCATCCACTTAGAAGCACTTACTGTCCAAAGAAAACACAGTTCCAGCACAGAAAAAGGGACCCAGACACAAAATCTCAACTTGCACCAAGAACCATAGACTCCATAATTTTCTGTACTCCGTTTGTTTGTTTGTTTGTTTGTTTGTTTGTTTGTTTGTTTTGGTTTCTATTATTTATTAGAACTTGTTTGTTCAGGTTTTTTTTTATTTTTTTGTTATTGGTGGGGCTTGGGAAAGATAGTGAAGTTGTGTGGGTGAGGGTGATGGGGGTAGAATCTGGGAGGAATTAAGGAGGGAAAATATGGTCAATGTATACTGCATGAAAAAAATAATAATACTAATAAAAGAGAAGTAGGTAACGAATGAAATCCACCCAGTTGTCACAGAAGTTGCCTCAGAAGGAAACAGCAGCTAAGTGAGAGAACAACCCAAGGGAAAAAGCTGACCTGTGACGGGGTACACCTGAGAAGGTTGAGCAGTTTCTTATAATAAAGCCAGAATTGTATATGTGAAACTCTTCTAATGTTTTGCATCCTAGCATATGGCTGTAAAGTCTCGATTTCCATATTTTACGTAAATTATCCTAACGCTAATCCCAAAGGTAGCAAAAAACAAACAAACAAACAAACAAACAAAAAAAAACCCAACCACCTAAATAATTGAATAAAAGTAAGGACCTAGCTAATTTATCAAATGTGCAACACAAGTCTAGAACTATACTTCCTATGGGTCATGTTGGGATGCCAGATACAATAATTAACACACTGCTTTTAGGATATTGGGGAATACACACAGGTCTGTAGGATGCATGGTAGTCTACCCACCACATTCCTTTACACCGATGATAACCATAAGTATGGTCAAATGTACATAGCAAATGTAGCTGCATGGGAGTTAATATGGGGAACACCGCAAGCCTCAATTCCAGACAAGAAATGGAAACCTAAGTGGCTGTAATCACTCATCTGCCTCATTCACTCAGAGTAGAAAGGAGGTAAAACTGACCACACAAACTCCTACCAGGCATCCTCTGCAAGGATCAAGGGTCTCTAAGTTCAACCCTGTGTGGCTTCCTTTTTCTTTTCCAAATCATAGGGAAAGGAAAGGCTATGAGGATATTATGATACAAAAAAAAAAAAAAAAAAAAAAGTGTTTGGTAGTAAAATCTACCTACATAATGAAATGTCTTCTATTGAAATAGTCATTTATATGATGACTATCATTTGATTAGTTCATATTAGGAGTGAAATATGGATGCTTAAATTCAGTGCAAGGAACATATATTTTAATGCATTTGTTAGTAAGTTTTTTTAATAGGAGAAAAGCACCAACTCTCCCTTCATTGCTATTATAATCCAATAGTGGCAGAGCTCTCTTTTAATAGGTCAGACCCAGTTTTCATATGGTTATAGACAAGTGGCAAAGACAAGTGACCCAGGGCAATTGTTTACTAGGTACTATCCTTGGGGCTAACTCTGGGGTGGCAGGAGCTACGACTTGCTGTGTCAACCAGGCTCCCTGAATTTGTCAGAATCTATTAAGAACAATTTATAACAAAACCATTATTGCAGAAGCCCATGTTATCAGATCCTCTTTCTTGCACAAAAGGTGGTGTTGCCTCTAGACCCTAAAATGTCACAAAAACTAAACAATTAAACGAAAGTAAGGACCTAACTAGTGAAATATCTTATAGTGAAATAGTCATCTATATGATGACCATCATTTTATTAAATCGTATTTGTGAACTGGTGAGGCTGATACGCGTGTACACCATGGTCCTCAGTGACAAATAAGGACATTTGGAATAGAAAACTAAAACCACATAAACTCCAGGAAGTCAAGAAAGGGACAATTCTAAGACTAACACTGAGAATGCTATAAAGCATGTGCTTGAGAAAGTAAAGAAATCCTTCTGTCTGCAGACAAGATTACAAGGACAGAGGGTATCAGGTTCCTTCCTCCTGCTACTAATCCTGATCTAGGCACTGCCTACCCTGCTCTCCTCCAGTCCATGGCTCTGTATCTCATACCATCTTGTTCCCTAACCTCTGCAATTCTCCAGGGTTTCTCTTCTCACACGCCACATCAGTGTTAACCTTCACTGGCAGGAGCAGATATTCTCTGCTGTTTCCTGTGTCTGTGGCCACTATCAGACAGCCCATCATCTTCATAGGTACAGTACTAGTTGGTTGGTTGGGTTGATCTTTATGTTTAAATTAGCAAACAAAGAAATGACGTTTATTGTGACTTTCCATATATATGCATAATTAGACTGTTCTCATTCACTCTCCCACCTCTGTCCCTCTTACTGTCCCCTCCCCTCTACCACCTATTCTACCTTCATGACCTACATATTCCATTACACTGTCTTGTTCCTATCTCCCCTCCATTTAGAACACTTCCTCCTCTCTCATAGTCCTCTTTTCTACTTCTATCACACACACACACAGACACAAAAACACACACACACATCTAAATTTTACATCTGAGAGAAAAGTGATATTTGTCTTTCTAGATCTGGGCTTATTTAGCTCAGCATAATGATCTCTGTTCCACATATCTTCCTCGGAGTGTCATGACTGAATCCTTCTTCCTCAGAGATAAATAAAATTGAGTCTATCTATTTTATCACATTTTCTCTTTACACTTCTCTGTTGGTGGAAAGCCAGGTTGATTCCATTTCCTAGCTATTGACAATAGTAAAGCAATAAACACAGGCGAACAAGAATCTCTCGCATGCTGATCTACAATTCTTTCATATCTTGGTATCTTGGTCATATAGTAATTCTGGTTTTATTTTTTTGGACAAGCCTTCATACTGATTTCCATAAAGCCTTCACTACTTTGCACTCCCTGCAGACACGAATAAGGCTTTCTCCTTCTCACACATCCTTGCCAGGATTTGTTGTTTTCTAGATGACAGCCATTCTAACTAGAGTGAAATGGACTCTCCCAGCAGTCTTCATTTTCAATTACATATGTACATGTGTGTCTTCATATGGCTTTGTGGATGTGCATGTCATGCCTGCAGAGGCTAGATCTCCTTGGATCCCCTGGAGCCAGAGTTACAGACAGTTGTGCTGGGTAGCAAACTCGGGTCCTCTGTAAGAGCAGCAAGCATTTGCTGAGCCATCCCTCCAGCCCCATCTGAGAAAAGATTTAATTTGCCATTGTTTTGCTACAAACAGAATGCTACCTTAAAAATCAATCAAAATATTAATATCACAATACTTATTAAGCACAATACAGATTAAGCACTGGATAAAGAGTTTTTACATGCCTCCATTTATTTAATCACACACCCTTTGAAGGTCCTATTATGATGTTACAAATAAGATGTAGAATAGCTATTTATCACCCGATACCCACTGAGTCTTGAAATTGAGATTTAAACCCACATGATCTGAATTTAGAGCCTGCCCATTTAATTGCAATGAACAGCACAGCTGTCCCCTTTATATTTATTTCACAGTGCAAATGCTGAAATTAAAAAAAAAAAAAAAAGAAAAAAGAAACTTCCCACCATATGCCCTCAAAAATGCCACTTACCCAGATAGGTGAGCTGCCGCAACTGGCTGTTGAAGAACCAGTCACAGCCTCTGTCCTGACTGGGCAAAGGAAGAGATGAAAGTGACCGACCCACGCGACTCCCACATCTGATGAGGATGTCAGGATAAGGTGGTAGGTCCCCGTGCAGCAGCAGAAGGTGGTTCCTGGGGGCAAAGCTGTCAAACGTTGCTGAGTACTGAAGTGAGGGGGCAAAAAACACGTTGATGAGTGAGGAGAGCCCTCAAAAGGAGTCATTTAGCACCAGCTACGCCAAGAGGCACAATCTGTGTGGCAAACAGGCCTACTTGAATCTCCCTCATAGGAAAATCGAGCTCTGGTTACAAATTCATTAAATGTGAAGACTGAAAAAAAAAAAAAGTCATGGGCTTCCCCTTGTTCGTAACCACTGTTAACTGACGAGGAAACCACGCACAGACAAGGGAATTGGCTCTCTCAGGCCAAACAGCGGTGAGAGAAACGGTCAAGTCTACAGTCCCTTCCCAGCTCTCCTCACGGCAGAGAGAGGTAAGCTTGGTAAGTGTGTGTGTTTAGCAACAGCAATAGCTGACACAGCTGAGGCGCGTGCCACACCATAAGGCACCATTCCTTTGACTCATCCAACCCCTGAGAGCCCAGCCATTGTTAATCTCACTGAACCAGTCTAGAGCACGCAAAGACTTCCCTAGGCCCAAAGGCAGAAGAGAGCTGGGCCAAGGCAGCTGAACCCCATCATTATCCTACCACCCTAGCGTTGGGGAGATCCCCTCAAGTGTTCTCATGCTAAAGCCACCAAGAGCAAAGTGAGGTATCCTTCATGGTAAACCCAGCGACAGCGAAGACAAGCAGATAGATGGAAGGCTAGTCCTCTCTCACCATGGGTGAGAGGGAAATATGCTTAAAGAAATTGGACTACCTTTTCCCTTTAAATTTTATTTCATGTCTTATTCGTTGTTGTTGCTGTCCTTATCAATGTGAAAAAACGTGCCCACTTTCTACCTAGCTATTACCCCAGTAATTTGGTTCTTTACATCGAGCTCTGCCTGGAGAAGCATGAAGACAGATCTCTTTGCAAATTTATTTTGAGCCACAGGGTGGCAGTATGAAACATGTAAATGCCCGGATAAGAAATTTTCTCTTGCCAGACCACAGGGGAAGAGGATCCAGGCATTCCTGAGGAGACTTGATAAGATAGGAGCAGAGAGCAGGGGACAAGCCCCCCCCCCCAACCCCCCTTTCAGAGGACTAAGGCAAGGGGATATGAAGGAAGAGGAAGGGAGGGTGGAACTGGGAGGAGTTGAGGGAGGGGGCTACAATTGGATATACAATGAATAAATTGTAAAAAAAAAAAAAAAGAAGAAGAAGAAGAAGAAAAGAAGAAGAAAGAAAAAAAAGAAAATTTCTCTGGCTTCTAGCCTTTGTAACAGGAGTGAGGTTATGACCTATCTTTGTAAAAAAAAATCATATAAAATGCTTGAAGGCTACTTCTCATCAAATTACTTAATTTAACATTTCTAGAAGAAGTAGTTTCGCATTCACAACGGGATTTAAGTACTGAACATTTCAAGTTAACAAACCATCTAGCAAAACGCCAAAGCAGCTTCCTTCATGAGCGTCAGGTAATATTGACAGCCCATTCCTTCACAGAAGTACCGGTACGAGACCCTAAGTGTGTAAAGAAATTGGCAAGACAGGGTTACCTGCAAAGATCTATCTGTGCAAGGGCCCTGGAACTTCAGTGAGTAGGTCTCTTGATCCAAGAGTAGAGCCATCCAGCCATGGTAGTTAGACAGCGTGTCTTCAACATACCTGGCAGTGGTTGTCTTATTTCTGCTGTCAGTCAAAGTTAAATTCTGAGGAACGCCAAGGCCCTTAACTCTACAGTGAATTAAAAAGAAAAAAAAAAAAAAGTCAGTAAGAGTTCCAACACAGGGGCTCAGCAGTTCCAAAGGCCCTGGGTTTGACCCTTAGTACCCCAAGGGCAGCTAACAACTGTATGTAACTACAGTTCCAGGGGATTCAACTCTGTCTTCTGGAATCCACGGGCACCACACATATGAATACAGTTTTAAAAAATTAATTACAGCAATTAACAGTAAAGCAACAATAGTAAATTAACAATTCAAGTAATTCACAGTAATTTTATCATCATCTGAATGATTTCCGGCTGATTATGCCATGCAGCTTCTACCTATGTATCTATGAAGGTCATAATCTATGTAGGTCAAAACAACCCACTAAGAGATTTCCACCAGAAGCCATGCATGCACACATACATACATACATACATACATACATACATACATACATACATACAAACATACATACATTATACTGCAGCTCTGGAAATAAACAAGTGACACTAGTATCTGAAACCACCAATAAATGTTTCCTTAATGAATCCACATGTGCCAGGATAAAATATAATTTAACAAATGTGTACAGTAAAAATTTTGTCATGTAGCAAGCTTGTTAACAATAGAAAACATGTTGTTTTGAGGAATTTGATATCCCCAAAGGAGCTTTCATGAGTCCAGAACCGGATGCACTAAACTGTTCAGTACCCTTCTCCAACTGCCCAGGGAAAATGGCTTCAGTAGTGTTTCCTGGAATAAAGATCCTGGCGTCTCTCCCAGGTTTTGGCCTCCTGCACAGAACACACTGCCACTGCTACACCTTGATGTACTAATCCCCAGTCAGCCATTCCTCTTTCTTCCCTTTGGTGGCTTCCATGTCAGCACAGGGCTCCGTACACATTGCTGCTTATCATGCTCGTCATAAAATGCAGACTATTTGGCTAGGCCCTTCCAAAAGCAATCTGTGCCAGCTTGCTAACCTTTAGAAAGGGTTATATACAGAGCTTCATTTTACCAAATAGGGAAACTGAGGTAGAACATGGTAGTGCCTGGATCCCCCGGTCATTCTGTATAATCCATCCTCAGAAAAGGGGAGCCCCCTATCTACCTACCCCAGATCAAGTTGCATCAGGTTTGAGCTTGTCCTCTTTCCCTAAGGCCTGGTGAGGCAGCCCCATCAGAAATAAGTGATCAAAAAGCAGGCAACAGAGCCCATGTCAGAGTCAGCCCCAGCTCCTCTTACTAGGGAACCCACATGAATCCTGAGCAGCCCATCTGCTACTTCTGTGTAAAAGGCCTAGGTCCAGTCTATGCATGGTCCTTGGATGGTGCTTCAGCCTCCACACACCCCTCTGGGACTTGGTTAGTTGGCTCTGATGGTCTTCTGGTGGAGCTCCTGTCACTGACAGGTCCTTGATCCTTCTCCAGAGCAACCAATGCCTGGTCCACCCTGAGACCCACCTCATGTAAGAGAGTCAACCCCTGACACTATTAATGATATTCTGCTGTGCTCACAGACATGAGCCAAGCATAGCTGTCCTCTGAGAGGCTCCACCCAGCAGCAGATGGAAACAGAGACTGAGACTCAGAGTCAAACATTGGGTGAAGTGTAGAGAGTCTTCTGGAAAAGTGAGAAGGATAGGACATAAGTACATTTAATCAAAAGTTAATACTAGAAAAATAAGTTAAAAAACTAAAAAGGAAAAGATTTTTTTAACTTTTATTAATTACACTTTATTCACTTTGTATCTCCCTGTAAACTGCTCCCTCCTCACCTTCTAATCCCACCTTCCCTTCCTCTTCTTCACGCATGCCCCTCCCCAAGTCCACTGATAGGGGAGGTCCTCCTCTCCTTCCTTCTCATCCTAGTCTATCAGATCTCATCAGGAGCGGCATAGTGCATGGAATCTTATAAAAGAAATGGGAAATAGTAAGATCTGGAGAGGACAGGAGCTCCACAAGAAGGACAATAGAACCAAAAAATCTGAACACAGGGGTCTTTCCAGAGACTCATACTCCAACCAAGTACCATCCATGGAGATAACCTACAACCCCTGCACAGACGTAGCCCATGGCAGTTCAGTGTCCAAGTTGGTTCCATAGTAATGGGAAGAGGGACTGCCTTCGACATAAACTGATTGGCCTCCTCTTTGATCACCCACCCTGATGGGGGAGCAGCCTTACCAGGCCACAGAAGATGACAATGCAGCCACTCCTGAAGGAAAAGATTTTTAAATTTTCAATAAACATACAGATGCTTTTATCCCTTTGCTTAGATTTCACAAGGACCTTTCAGCATGGCATTTAGCCTCAAGCAGATAATTAAGCTCTTGAAATAAAAGGGAATGAGACAAAGATGGTAAATAATTCTCACAGTAAGATGGAACTTGAATATATCAGACTATAGCCCTATGGTATAATGTAAAGAAAACACTTGTATGAGAGAGAGAGTTCTTGCTACATCATCAAACTTGCCATGAACTCCCAAGTTCAAATGACTCCCTACCTTCGCCTCATAACTTCTTGAAATTATTGGGATGTACCACCACACCTAGATGAAAAGGGGAATATTAAATACTGGGACAAGCAGGAGACTGAAGTGGAGAATCTCAGTTTGCAGGTCTCCCTGGGACACAGAGAGATTCCGTCTATTCTGGTTAGTTTTGTCAGCTCAACACAAGCTGGGGGCCTCTGGAAAGACAGAACCTTGACTGTGAGAACACCACCTTAAGTCTGGTTTGTAGACAAGTCTGCGGGGCATTTTCTTGATTAATGACTGATGTGAAGGGCCCGGTTCACTATGAGTGGTGTCACTCCTGGCCAAGTGGTCAGGAAGTGTCTAAGAAAGCAAACTTAGCGAGCCCTGGGAGCAAAGTGGTAAGTAGCACTCCTCGTGGCTTCTGCTTCAGTTTCTGCTTCCAGGTTTCTGCCCTGAATTCCCTTCATGACAGAATGCGATAGGAACCCGTAAAACAAATAAACCCTTTATTCCCCATGCTCTTTTAACACAGCAATGGGAAGCAGATTAAGATTTTTTTCAAATAAACAAAAAGAAATAAGACATGCTTTTACACAATGGAATACTACTCAGCAATAAAAAACAAAGAAATCATGAAATTTGCAGGTAAATTATGGGAACTGGAAAAGATCATACTGAGTGAGGTAGCCCAGAAGCAGAAAGACACACAGGGTATATACTCACTCATAAGTGGATATTAGACATATAATATAGGATAAACCTACTAAAATCTGTACACCGAAATAAACTAATCAAGAAGGTGGACTCTGGCTAAAATGTTCAATCCCCATTCAGAAAGGCAAAGAGGATGGACATCAGAAGAGGGAGAAAACAGGAAACAGGACAGGAGCCTACCACAGAGGGCCTCTGAAAGACTCTGCCCAGCAGTGTATCAAAGCAGATGCTGAGACTCATAACCAAACTTTGGGCAAAGTGCAGGGAATCTTATGAAAGAAGGGGGAGATAGTAAGACCTGGAAAGGACAGGAGCTCCACAAGGAGAGCAACAAAACCAACATATCTGGGCACAGGGGTCATTTCTGAGACTCCAACCAAGGACCAAAAACCCTGCTCAGATGTAGCCCATGGCACCTCAGTATCCAAGTTGGTGTCTTAGTAAGGTGAACAGGGGGTGTCCTAGTAAGGTGAATAGGGACTATCTCTGACATAAACTCAGTGGCTGGCTCTTTGACCACCTCCACTGGTGGGGGAGCCAGGCCACAGAGGAGGACAATGCAGCTAGTCCTGATGAGACCTGAGACCTGATAGGCTAGGGTCAGATGGAAGGGGAGGATGACCTCCCCTATCAGTAGACTTGGAGAGGGGCATGGGAGGAGATGAGGGAGGGAAGGTGGGATTGGGAGGGATTAAGGGAGGGATCTCCAGATGGGATACAAAGTAAATAAACTAATTAATACTTTAAAAAATAAAAAAGACATGCTTTTGCAAGTTAGAATAAAATGCAAAAAGTTAGATGTAAAATACAAAGGTAAATTATATACATTAGTGTGAGAACTTGGGACTGTACTAGCCCTTTAGATTTTAGCTTCATTTCTACCACCATGGAGACAATGGATTCTTGATTTCTTACCATGTATTTGAATGCCTAAACTGTGACATGAATCAGCCTTTTGACACCGAGACAAAACTGCTATCTACAAAGTAAGCATTTGAAAATCACCCAATCTTGTTACAAAATAAAATCACAAAGACGGTTTCATAATGTTTCAGTAAGCTTGGGATTTTCTGATCCCTCCTGAGTTACTATGGTGTATGTGTGGCTACCTGCCAATAGTTCAGCATGTCAAAGAAGGTTATTTGTGAGATTCTGTCATTTGAAAACTTGACAATATGCTTTCATTCTGCAGAATATTGACCCAGAAAGTTTATGTGACATTAAACATATTTGATTCTCTCGTTAGTAAAATAAGCAGGATTAAAAAAAAAAAAAAACCCTCTGGGCATTTGGAATAAAAGAACTATTCAAAACCAGAATTTGCCTATGCAGTATTACCTGGATCATTATAAACCTGAAGGAAAGCATTTTCCATCTTTAGGCTTTAGATATTTAGGGTTTACCTTCTCCATCTCTACTAGGATTTATGTTAGAATTACTGGACAGGTCTTGACTTAAATTCTTCGAATCAAAATAAACATGAAGGTTTGCTCCAACTGAGAATCCAAAATCTAGACTCCCTCATAGCATTGCCTCCTGTCCCTGTTCCCAATTAATGATGCATTCATGTCCCATTTGTAGAGTTTTATAAGTACATTTTTAATATTATATTATTAAGTATTATTAGCGTTTGAGACAGGGTCTCATCATACAGGCGAGGCTGACCTCAAACTTACTTTGCAGTCCAGCTTTGAATTCTTAATCCCAGCCTCCCTACAGCGAGGACAGCAGGTATGCCTGCGTAACCACACCTAGATGAAACTACAATATTTAGAAAAGTCTTTAGAATGATGAACTTTCTTTCTTAGCTATTTGTTATGTATCGTCGT